CACTGTAACAAACAATAATTGCAGTTTAACTTTTAAAAAACAACCACTTCAAATTAAATTTGGTCTTAATCTAAACTATCTATATAAATAAATATTAACTAGCTTTTGCTTCCTTTGTTCATGGCTCCTTGATTGTTTGCGATCTCCCATCATCGTCGTTTCTTTTGTTCCATCATCAGATTGTGTATTGGTGGTTTTGTTTTAGGTTTCAGGTTTTTTTTTTCCGATGTCTAGGGTTTGTGTGATTCGGTCGCATATCATTTCATGCGTTTGACTCATGATGATTCAGGTTAATCATAAGAATATGAACGTTCAGATGCAGTATCCTCTTCTTTCTCCTCACCAGAAAAGTGTCATTGACCAATTACGGCAAGCTATGCGATCTAGGATGTAAAAAAGTCTTCTCTTCTTTCTAGTTATATTTTACTCACTTAATTAGCATACCTAGGGTTTTTTTCTTTTGCGATCTCATTTGATTGCTAAACCCTAATTTTCTCATTCTCTATCTAGTTATGCTATCTTACAAAATAAGGTGACTCGAAGGACTGATGATGCTGTCTGGCAACAAAAGCTTATCTATGTTGCAAACTCGTTAGAGGCCAAACTGAGGAGTTTGGCCAGATCAGAGGTTCCCTAAACTCCTCATTGTTTAACTAACTACTTTGGCCTTACCAAATACAATTGTACAGAGCCGGTTACACTCTTCTTGATGATTTTTTTTCAGGAGGAGTACTCTGATTTACGAAATCTTGAAGTCCGCGTAGCTTCTCTTTTGAAGGAAAGACGCGATTCTTCGCGGCTTGCTTGTCCTCCAAGTAATGTTGGCATGAGTGTTTCAGAAGGAATCAGCGCATTGCCGGATTCTTTGATAACTCAGATACTCTTAAACCTTCCAACCAAAGATTCGGTGAAGACGAGTGTTTTATCGAAAAGATGGAGAAATCTTTGGCTCGATGTTCCAGGATTAGAGTTACACTCCAATGATTTCCCTTCTCTTTACAGTGATGCCATCAAGAACTTCACTGAAAGATTTCTTGAGCTAAACCGTGAGTTGCGTCTGCAAAAGT